AGCTCCCACTGCATCCCAGTGCTCAGCTCCCACTGCATCCCAGTGCTCAGCTCCCACCAGGTGCCCCCTGATGCTCCCAGCCATGGTCTGTGGCTTTCCCCCTACTCCCTCCCTTACCTTCTGGTTGCTTTTTTTTGTTCCTTACCTGCTGCCAGCAGCAGAACCCCAGGGCTGTGTAATCTGTGGTTAAAAGACAGCATTTCAAATGCAGAGTTAGTGGATTTTGCTTGCAAATAACAACTCCTTTGACTTTTCTCCCCTTCTTTTACTACCCTCCAACTTTTAAGCATGTCACCCATTGTTTGCGTTTTTATTAATAACAGAGCCCACTGTCTCTACTAATGAAATGATGTAAAACAAAGAAAAGTGCCCGCATTAAATTCTCCAGCAAGGGATTACCTTGCTGGCATTTACATATCTGTGCAATAAATATTTTAACATGTTAATTATACACTAATAAGAAAAATACCTTTTGAACTTTCAGTCAAATTGACACACAGAGAACTGAGTCCATCAGGGAATTAAAAGCAATTAGTTTTGTAACAGAGCATAGTCACTTTGTTTCTTCTCTGCAAATTGTTCTGTGGTCACCAGCCAGCCTTTTTTTTTTTTTTTTTTTTTTTTTGGTGAAAGTTGGTGGAAACACCGACAGGTACTGGAGTTTTCCATGTCCTGCTCACAGAGCCTGTGCCATCACGGGATGCTCCTTCCCTCTCTCAAGGTTTCATCCTGGCCCTGCAAACCTGACTTTTCCCAGTCAGGGAGAAATCAGACTTGTAACCATCTCCCTTTTCTTTTCCTCCTTCCAGACTGAAAACTACTCCTTTGATTCCAACTACGTGAACAGCAGAGCTCATTTAATAAAAAGGTATGTAGGCTTGCTTGGAGGGCTTGGCTTTGCCCAGCCAAATCCCAAGGGTTTAATGTTCTTTCATGCTGCGTTATATACTTGCTTATTTTAATATGCAAAACTTTTCAGGAGTAATAATTTGATTTTAAAACAGTACTTACTTCCCATGGAGTCCCATTGCTCACGGTTTGCAATAAAGGAAATCTTTTTTTCTTTCTCTTTGGCTTCTTCACACTGGGAAGGTGCAGTAAGTGAGGTAGAGTGCTGTTACCCTGACAACTTTCGAATTCTTAGAGTTTATTCCATTTGAATGCACAGGAATAAAAGGATAGATTTGGGTGGTGAGATCTCCCTGCCATGTGAGGCGGGGAAAATTAAAAAAAAACCCACCAAGTTGTTTGGGGGCAGGTAATTGGGTTGGATGCAGCTCACTGTTTTAGTTTGAATACCAAGGCAAACAGCACTTTGCTAGGCTGATTTTTTACCACGTGTAAAAGGAAACAATCAGTTCAACTGCAACCTGGCAGTTACCCTTGTTGAAATGGAGCCCTTTGGGTGAAATGCTGCTCTCCCCAGAGCCTAGCAGTGCTGAGGGAATGTCTCTGGGGGTTTCACCATGGGCTTACCCAGCTGTGTTAACCCAGAGCTGAGCATCACCCCAGGGTCAGGAGGCTGGGCTTGACCCAGCACCATCAATGCTCCTCAGCAGGAGCTGCAGGGCTGCTCCTGCACAGGGTGAAGGTGCAGGATGGGGCCAGCAGCTCCTTGCCCACCTCCCTCCTCTCCCCAGGACCTGGCCAAGGTGTGTGGGGAACAAGCCATGCCCAGCACGGCTGTGCTCCCTGACTCTGCAGAAGCCACCACTGAACCCAGGGTTTTACAGAGAGCAGAAGCCAGCCCTGAACTGTTGAGATCTGATCTGAGCAGGAAAAATATCCAATTATCTGCCTGGCTGAGATCCCGTTTGTTTACATGTTAAAAACCTGAGCAGTCAGGGGTTCAGCTGGCGAAGGGCAGGTGGATTTGCCTGCGTGCCTCGTGGTGTTTAACCATGCTAATGTGACTGTGAGAGCTGGCTGGCCTGTGCCACGCTGCTCCTCGCCAGAGAGCCCTCAGGCACACTGAAAAAACCCCAAATCTATTAATCTTTCCTCGTTCTCACCTAAGATAAAGGCGAACAGCGCTGCTGCCTGCCGCAGCGGGGCTGGCTCCGAGCTGTATTGTTTGGGAAATGCTGCTGCTGCTGCTTCCCCCAGACCTGCCCATCCTTTAGAGAAGTGTCAGTGTGGAAAACACGTCGTGTGGCTGCTGCATTACGGCCTGGCTGGCTGCAGGGAAGATAAATGCCTTGTAGCATGGGCTGCCTGTGCATTACCAACAGCAGCTCCGTGTAGGACAGCAGTTCCCTTTGCTTGCTGCCTTTGTCTTGTGTCTTAAGTACAACGGGTGCCAGGGATGCTGTGCAGACATCTGAGAACAAAAAAATGTTTTCTGTAACATACTGTGGCATCATTTTCATCCTTTGCCTTTATGTAGATGTTGTAGCTCTGCTATCTTTGGTGAGTGAATCTTCTCAAATCCAGCACTTAATTAATCTATTTGTACTTTTCCTGTGTTGTCTGCCTGCCTCTCTCGCTCATCTACACTCACACAAATGAATTGTAGATTTGTAGTGCTTTCTTAACTTAAAAATCTTTGATGTCACCTGGAATCAAAGTCAGTGGCTTCAATAGGGACATCTTTATTTAAAAGGTAATGTTTGAAGGTTTACCAATTTATATGTATTTCAGAGCTCCCCCCTCGTGTGCTTTTGCAGAGCATCAGATGGTAGGTGGTCTGCTTGGTTTCCGTGGAGACACAAAAGGGCTTTTCAAAGTAATGGAAATCTCCAGCTCTTTGGGGCTTTGAAGCCCAGGCCGTGTCTTTCACTGACATTTCACTCCAAATCAACCAGTGGGAAAGTTTGGAGAAGTGGGTGCAGGTGGATCCTCCCAATGAGTGCAGGTTTCCCTTGCCAGGGCTGGTGTGGAAGGAGCACAGGGTGGGTGTCCCCAGGGCTGTGCCACCTGGGGCAGGTGTGTCTCAAGGTGCCCCTGCTGCTCACAGCAGCCTGGGGCATGGCCCCTCTCAGGGTGTTGGGGTCCCAAATGCAGCCAGAAATGCAGCTTTTCATAGAATCACTCACTGGTTTGGGTTGGAAGGGACCTTAAAGATCACCCAGTTCCAACCCCCTGCCATAGGCAAAGACACTTTCCACTATCCCAGGGTGCTCCAAGCCCTGTCCAGACTGGCCTTGGACACTTCAGGGATGGAGACACTTCCTGCTCTGGGTACCCTGTGCCAGGGCCTCACCACTCTCACAGGAAAGAATTTCTTTCTAATTTCTAAACCTCATCTCTCTTCTTCCAGTTTAAAACCATTCTTCCTGTCCTATCACCATCTGCCTGTGTAAAAAGTCACTCTCCCTCTTCTTCAAATGTCCTATCACTATTTGCCCATGTAAAAAGTTACTCCTTTTTATGAGTCCCCTTTAGGAACTGGAAAAGGCTCTGAGGTCGTGCAAAACATTGTCCAGGATGAGCAGTCCCGGCTCTCTCAGCCTGTGTTCATAGGAGCTGCCCTTTTTCCACCCCTCTGGCCCGGGGGCTGCGTTCCATGGGGTGTTAGGGCTGCTCAGCCCTTGGGGGAAATGTGGGAGCAGCTCAGTCCTTGTCCTCCCAGCAGTGGCTGTGCTTGCAGAGGCTGTCAAGGATGTTTGACTGTGAGTCAGATTTCCTTAAAGCTGCATGAACTTGGACCCAGAATCAATGGTTTATTTTTAAAATTAAGAATGCATCCTCATGATTAAAAGGCATTCCTGTTTCCAGGAAGACTTTTGTTTTTCAAGCTTTAAGTGATTAGGATTTGGCTTATAACCTAAAAAAATGGAGTTTAGATCTTGTGTAACTCCAATATGAGGTAGTACAACTTGGGAGAGCCAAGTTGTAGAAACGGCTCATTTAATGTGTATTTTTAAAATTTTTATTTCAAATCCTGCTTCACTCTGAGCTTCCATAAGACCCGCGGCAGGCTGAGGGTACCCAAGGCTGGCACACAGCCAGGGCCAGGAGCAGCCTGGGGGTGGTGCAGGCTGGATGCTGTGTTTTGGGGTGCAGAGGTGGCAATCAGGGAGTCCCCCCACACTCCCTGCCCAGCTCTCCATGCCTGGCCAGCATCACTGGGGGCTGTGGAGGGCAGGGACCCCCCCCATCCCTGCAGGTCTGGCTGTGGCGTGTCCAGAGCCACCTTGTCCCACGCAGTAAGTGACAGCTGTGTTTCCCCAGCAGCTCCACGTTCAAGGACTTGGAGGGGAACAGTCTGAAGGACAGTGGCCATGAGGAGAGTGACCAGACAGACAGCGAGCACGACGTGCAGCGGGGCCTCTACTGCGACACGGCCGTCAACGATGTCCTCAACACCAGCGTCCCCTCCATGGGCTCCCAGGGCCCCGAGCCAGGTGAGAGCCACTGCTGTGCCCTGGGGGTGCCCACTGCCCCCCACGGCCCCATGTGGGGCTGCCCCGCTGGGGCTGTGCCGTGAGGATGCTTGCTGCTTGCTGGGGATAACGCTGTGCGTGGGCAGAGCCATGGGGAGATGAGAATTCATCTTCACACCAGTGAAGTGAGCACTTGGCATTGGCCTCTGTTCACAGGCAGAAATCCCAGCTGAGCTTCTGCCCGGCATTGAGGGAGTGCTGGAGTTGGGATTGGGGAATCAGAGGTGCTGTGCTGTGCCCAGGGCTGGTCCCTGCCTGCCTCCCCTCTAGAGCACCGATGGCGTGTGCCCTTCCCAGAGCTCCTTCCCAGCTCCAGAGCTCTCAGGCAACCTTCCTAAAGGTCAGCAGAGCATGTAGGAAATTAGTCAGGCATCCCACAAGGGATTAGCCCTGGCCAGTGTATGAGGGTTTGAATCTTTTCTCCTGCATTGGTGGCAGCTTTCAGCTCTTACCGTCCCCATATGCAGGGCTGAAGTCCTGCTCTGAAATCAGACTGGTATTAGCTGGGGGAAGGAAGTCAGAAGAGTTCAACTGAGCCCAAGTGTCGTTTGTACTGGGGCATGAATGTCGCTTTTAATGTCTGAGGGATGCAAACATCCTATGCAAACATCCTGTCTTTTTCAATTAAGGAGCCTGAGTGCAGTTTGGTGCTCGGGCACGGGGGAGCCTCGGGGCACTTGGCTATATCTTGAGATAAGCTGTAGCTGAGGCTCAACTGGAAGCCCCACTGCTAAAAGACTTAAGGATATGAAAACAAAATGCTGTGATTATGAACTGGTCTTCAGCTGTTTAATTCAATTCATGGTAAACATCATTAAAAGCCTTTGTTGTGCTGTCATAAAAGAGTCAAACGGGGGAGAGAGAGTTCTTGCCATCTGCGCCACCGAGTGTGGGATTTTTCTGGAGAGAATCTGATGGCTGTATTAATTCTCGATAGAGTCTGTTAAATGGTCGTAGTTAACCCTGTAAGACTCCACGAGGAGGGGAACACAGAGGTCACCTACACATTCCACGCTGCCAGCCACACTAATTGGAGAGGGATGGCATCCGCAGCGATAATGTATTTCCAGACAACCCTACTGTGGCCAAAGATGAAAAAAATTAAACATTTATATAACTGTACAGTGGCAGTTTAATTCTCTGCGGACCAGCACCGTGTCAGAGAATGCAGGCTGATAGCTATCATTTATTATTCTTCTATTACAAAGAAATGCTTTTTCATTTCGATCAGGAGAGGGTTTCCTCAGATACATTTGTAGTAAGGGATGTCTGTAGAAGCAAAAACGTTCATAATTGATTCCCATCCCGGTGAATGGTCTGAGCAACATCTGTTAATTTTTTGTCACATTTCTTCAGCAAAAAACCCAATCTCGGTGGACTGCAGGAAGGGTTTTACAGGGATTACATTTCTGATAAGTCTGCGTGCTGGCTCTGATAACAATGCAAATAAGTTAAAGACGCCGAGTTGGAGGCAGAGCTCATCAGAGGAGTCAGGAAAGTAAATATGGTTCAGTCCATTGTACATGAGCTCCTCACTGTGTGTAAAATACACCCCAAAAATCAGCTGTATTTCCAGAAATGTTCTGTCTGCTGGTCCTGCAGTGGCCAAGGGGCTTGGTGCTCCTGGGTCTGGTTTATTTTTGGGAGGAAAGCAGCCTGCCAGTGCTGCACCTGCAGGCAGGTGTGCCACAGCCAGCACTCTTGTCCTGTGGGACCCCCACTGTCCTGTGTGGAAGAGTTTGGGGTAACTCTGGGAGGTTATCAGGGTGCTGGTGGAGCTATGAGAGGAGCAGCACAAGCAGGGAAGGGAAGTGAGTGGTCACAGAAGCTGAAAAAAGGTTAAAGAGAGTTTTGGCTGAGCTGATTTGTCAAAGAGGAATCGCAGAAAATAATCAGGAAAATCAAGAAGCTGAGATGATGGTGATAACAGCAGTTCCCACATGATTAAAGTGATGGTTTTGGTTTGGCAGTTTTTACCTGATTTGAGGGTAGAAAGGCAGGGTGGGGAGGAAACACAAGAAATTGAATGGCAAGGATGTGCAGGACTGTTGGGTGACTACTGCTCCAAACACACAGTCCTTGTGTGGAGAGCAGCCTGGCAGCTCGTGTACCCATGCTTTGCTTTCCCTTGCTGTCCCTGCCCAAACTGCATTCCCAGGGAAATGGGGGAGTTGTTGTTGGAATTTGCTCGTTGATGGTAACAATCTCCTGGCATGGTTCCCCCATGGCCAGGTTCTGCTGGGCATGGAGCTCAGCTTGAGACACCACGAGCCCTTCATGAGTGGCCAGCTCTCAGACTGTGTCCCAGTGATTTGTGAGTCTTTATCTGCTCAGTGGATAGCCCTGGTTCAGCCAAGGCAGACACTGGTTGGCAGAAATGCTTTTAGCTGGGTGGTAGAGGATGACCCCTGTGTGGTGGCTCAGGGTGGTCAGTGTGGACCTTCTGGCCAGCCTTTGCCTCCTGAGATGCTGCATTTCCTGCAGAGGGAGGTAGGCTTGGATGGCTCCAAGTTCCTTTGTCTTCTTAAACCAGTGGCACCAGTGGTCAGTGGAGCTGTTGGTGTTTCTCTTTCCTGGTGCCACTCTTGGGTGGGAGTGACACCAGCTGCCAGTCCTGCTGGCAGGAGCCCTTTCTCCTCCTTTGGGAATGACCCAGATTCCCAGAAAAATGGCAAACCACAGCACGGAGAGTGTTGAGCTTTAGTGGGTAGCAGCAGGTCATCAGAAATACTGCCTGGAGCTCAGCCACACTGCGTATTTTGGGAGCAGGACTTCTGCCCAGTCCCTCTTTACCTCAGGATCTTAATTATTGATTATAAATTCATCTGATGAAAAGATGGCTTTAATTGCTCTAGTATGTAGCCAATTTGGAGTTCATTATAGCCCAGGATTGTTTTCCTTCCCTTGCTAATTACCACCAAATGGGCTGCAGAGGGAGGCGGGCACTGGTGCTGTTCCACCTTCCCCGCTTGCCTGGCTGCTGTGTCATTGTTTGTTTATTTGTGGAGCTGCTCAGCGCTGCTGGAAGTTTGTATGTGCAAACTCTCTACCTAACCACGTCCTCGGCTCAGCTTCCAGAAGGATTTCTTTGAGAGAGAGGTGTTTCTGAGCAGCTGCTGGATCTCAGCGATGCTTTGGGATGGCTGGAGAAGCCTGCTGGAGGATGGGGTTAAATCCTGGGGTGCCTTGGCCTATTTCACTGCAAGTGAAATTGGAATTTCTGCATATCCTGACTGGAAGTACAGCCCTGGAGGAAGCCCTGGTTTCCAGGAGGAGCTGAAGTGTGTGGTGCTGGTGTGGGATGGTGACATTTGTGGGATGGTGACATTTGTGGGAGCTCGCAGCTCCTGACACCTGTTCCTCCCAGCAGCACGGGGAGATCTCAGCAGGAAATGTTTTCCAGCACTGCACACTGTGGTGCTGGTGTTCCCTGGAAATGGCAGCGTGGACCAGATGTTTCACAGGGTAATTGAAAATTCCATTTTATCAGAAAGCGTTTGCTGTCAAAAAGTTTTATCTTTACTTCAACAAAGAGGTTGATTAGATCCCTCAGGACCTGAATTAGCATCTTTGAGGCTAGATACTCTGTTTTGTGATTCAGGTAGTTATTCCTCCCTTGGTTTTGCTCATACTGGTACTTTTTTTCTTTAAATCCCTTTGCCCTCTCCCAACTGTAGTGTTTGTGCAGGTTTGGCTTGTTTTCTTTGTGTGGATGTGCACAAGCACCTAGATCTGTTTAAATGTATTCTAGTGCCTTTTTCACCTTGCCTTGAGCAAGAGCCATTCTCGTACTCTGTAAGTCATAGGAGCTCTTGCCAGCATAGAAATCAGAAAGGAAATATTTCAAATAGAAGTTTTTAATGGTAGGAGCAACAGATTTCACACTTCTCTTAATTCCCAGTGCTGGCCAGTATTTTAGCCATCAATTATAGAAATCATTGGTCCAATGAAGCAGTGATTCACTGTTTAGATAAAAATAAAAATAGAAAATACAAAAATAATAAGCACACACTAATCACAAAACGGCAGTGTTAGAAATAGTCACCACAGCCATAAAATAGTGAGAAAGCTTTAAAATCAAAATGAGAAGGTTTTAAGCAATGTCAGTAATGGATCTCTACAGAGAATTGCTTCTAAAAGCATCACTTCCACTTTTCTGGTGCCAGATCAGCAGTAAAGGTTCACGTGAAATGTCATCTGGAAAGACCTGATCCCACATACATTTCCACATCTGTGTAACTTTACTCACAGGGGAGATTTAATTGTGTCTGAGTCCCATAAACTCCAGCAAGATGAAAGGTTCTTTGAATAGAAATGGGTTATATTTAAATAGTTGTGTTAAGTCTTCTTTATACTATCACACAGCATAGAAATAAGATTTGGATGTAAAGGAGAAATGGGCCCATGATACTGAAACTTTTCTTGCTGGTTGCATCCCACATTATTCAGAGGTATCATCATTTAGGGGATCAGGTTTTATCTGGAATATTCCAACTGGTTCTTATGCTCATCTCCATAGTATCTGGGTGTATTTCAGTAGTGAATTGAGAACATGACTAATGGTATTAACTGGAGGCAAACACAGGTATTAGAAACTGTTGATTTTTTGTAAGCTGATTTCCAGCAGTCGTTCTACCTACAACCCCCTTTCACTCTGCAGAAAAACCTTCCTGTAGAGCTGCATGCACATAAAGACCTAAGTGACATATTCTGGGGCTTTGGAGGCTGCATTTCTCTAGAAGTTTCCACAAATTAATAAAAGTACCTACTCCATGTATTCATATGTGCAGCACAAGACACAAAGTGTAACATCCATATGTGAGTGACAGCACGTCCCTTGAGGTGGATAAATGCTGTAAGCTTTCTTTACAGGGCAGTGTCAATTATTTCAGCTCCTCTGATTTCTGTATTTATCACTGCTGTGGCAAAGCAGCCTCAGTGAGCTCCGTGGTGCTCCTGCA